TTGAGGCGCAAAAGTCCGGCATCGCAGTTTAAGTCACTGAAACGGGAACCGGCCGTTATCCGTTTTTTTCCATTCTTTATTTAAATGCAAAATCGAAAACTGAAAAAAGAATCTGTTTTTTCATTTTGGTTTTGGAGACAAATAACAAAGAAAATAGTTGTTTTTTCTTTTTCATATTTTTGGTTTCATTTTTAAAACAAATGAAAGAATAATACACTTCAAGTTGGTTTTCTCGCTGTTTTAATTTGTTTATTTTTATTAGCTTTTATGAACTTTTAGCAGGTCTCAAACATTAATGAAAACTACTTTTACTTTTCAGTCCAGTTAAAAAAATGCAGAGGAGTAGAAAGTAAAAATACCTCCTCTCACATTTAGTGAAGTAAAAGTGAAAAGTATCCACTGTAAAATGTACTTAAGTAAAGAACAGATACCTAAAGATTTACCTTCCACTTCAGGTCACCATTGTAACTTCTGAACCTCCCATCATAAACATACACGCAGAACACCCCCAGCATGTTCACTCATCGATAACTCTAGCCATGTAACTGTACTTTTACTTGAGTACAAACCTTTATACTTCCACCTGTGCTTTTAGCTGGCGAATATAAGTTTAAAAGAACAATTTGAGACATCTTTAGAGTCAGGACCAGACACAAAAGCTAAAAAGCGATCATCTTTGTGGTCTAGTATCTGAGCCGGCCACCCACCTGGATCCAGCGTCTGAGGAATGCTTTTTAGTGGATTGCTTGAGTTGCCGGCCCCCCTGACGGTGTGTGAGAGCATGTGTCACTGGAGCCACCCCGTACATTATCTGGAGAGGGGCTTGTGGCGCTGGATTCTTCATGTTTGGACACAAAGACTGAAGATCTCTGCCTGGACATTTCCTTTTTTCCACGGTCACTAATCACCACCAGTTCAAAAGTCTATAAAAAGTCAAAACACAGCAGTTAAAGTCCACTTTAAATCTGGACTTTGTAACTTTCCCTGCTTGGCTCTATGGAGATGTTATTGCTTTGCTTAAAATATTCCACCATATGGCATTAAAGCAGGTTACCATAGGGTGTTCAGGTGTCCATATTTACCCAGGACAGTCACAGTTTTGAGCCCTGTGTCCCCTGTCCCAGCAGATTTATCCAAAACCACTGATTTGTCCCAGTTTTATACAAGAAATGTCCCTATTTTTGACCAATTTGATCCCTGCCAACAGTAAAAAGAGGCATAATTTGTCATTTTGTTGAGGTAAAATACAGAAAAGTTGCTTAAAAATGACCAAACAACACAAAGAAAATGTGACTATACTAACTCTATACTGGCAATTTTTCTTAATTACGCCCTCGTTTCACAATTTTATTATTACCAACCACCACAAACTGAGGATGTTCCAGTTTTTTATTCTGAAAATCTGGTCACCGTACGTTACAGATCAGAGGTGACCCTGCTCACAGTAAGAATGTAAATTTTTGTAAGTATTTTTAAGCAATAAAACAACAGTAATTAAATAAATGCAAGTTAGGTGAGTTTAATGATCATTAGTGCTGTAAAATGAATCACTTTACAAGCCTGATTCATCAGCTGGTTTCACTTCGTTTCACTTTGTAGAAACCGTCTGACCTCGCAGTGTTAGAATTTCTTTGCTTGATGGTAGGCGGGTACTTATTTTATTTAACCAATCACTGCTATTTGGTTGTAACGTATGTAATGCGCCACTAACTGGTTTATTGCTTTCCCCAAAATCCTGCAAAAAGAAGGGCAATAACGTCTTTCCCCTTGATGAAATTCACAAAATATTCTCTTTATTCCAGCTTTAAATCCTTGATCTCGAGACAACACAGAATGTATGGCTCTTTGTTGATTGGCTGGTGCCTGAACTTGCACTTCTGGGGTTTTTGCGAACCGTCTAGTGTATTCTGATTCCTGACCTAGTCGCTGGAAAGAAATGAAACTGAGCGGAGGCGCTATGTGGTGCCAGACTGGCTATCATTTTACAAACAAGCAAAAAAATCATAGACTACAACCTCATAGATCATGAAGGAAAGGGTTTAGGCTGAAGAGAAAAAGATAAGAAAAGATAACTTCTTTATAGTCTCATAGCGTATTTCATGACGGGTGCAACTGAAAAAATATATGTGTTTACAATTATATTAGACTACAGTCATTTTGTTTGGTAGTCTGTTATTTTTTCCAGTTTTGTTTAAGATGACAAGATTTTCAAAATAAAAAACTCTGACATGCTCATTTTGTGGTGGTTGGTAATAATAAAACTGTGAAATGAGCGAGTAATTAAGGAGAATTGTTCTGCACTGAGCCCATTCATGACTAACATGTGAGTCAGTATAGTCCCATTTTCTTTGTGTTTAGTAATTTTTTTTAAGCAGCTTTTCTTTATTTTACCTAAACAAATTACAGTTTATGCCTCTCTTTACTGTTGACAGGGATCAGATTAGTCAAAAATAAGGACATTTCTCTTACAAAAATGGGACTAATCACTGGTTTTTGGATAAATCTGCTGGGACAGGGGACACAGGACTCAAAACTGGGACTGTCCTGAGTAAATAGGGATGTCTGGTCACCCTAGTTTTGTTATGTCCAGCTCCACATGTAATTTTCCCCTATATAAACCTATAATTTTAATGCAGTTTTCCTTTTACTAGTGTAGTAATAAATAATGTTGCACAGCATACATTTGTGGAGCTACAGTGTGTTAATAGCATTTTTCTGACAGTTCCATCATTTCTAAATTCAAACCGGATTAGCTGTGGTGGGTTATATATCCCCCCTAATTTACTTACCTGATGAAAGTGGCACGTGGGTGGACACTGGTGGAAAGAAAGCAGATTAGAAGTTGTTTTTCCTAATAACTGTTGTCTAAAGCTGACTTTTCCCTGTAGTTTGTACTTCTGGAGAAATGCATTTTAACTCCACAACCACATTAAGCTTTTAAATCAATAATTTAAGACTCACTTAACAATATTTTGGCTCACCAGGCCTATTCCTGCTCTGACATAAATAAAATCATGTCTTGCTTATGCCTAAAAACGCTGCACCAAATAAAAACGTGCAAATATGTCTTAATAAGCACAGTTCACTCTGTTCTTTCCTGTGCAGCAGTGTGGGCCTGTCGCCAGCAGAGGGCGCACTGCTACTGCTTCACACTGACTGGAGCGCAAGCAAATAAATGGCACCTTGTGATAAACGGAGTTTGACGGGAGACGCCCTTAATCCACAGTATCCACCTGTACACACGGGACACAAGTGTTTGTCAATGTATTCCAACAGCGCAGGGCAAACGGAGCGCGGCACTGTCTATATTTACAGTGATCAGCGAACCGAAAGACCAGTGCGTGTGTGTGTGTGTGTGTCTGAGAGAGGAGGTTGTGTATGTGTGTGTGAGAGAAGGACATGATCTCTTTTGTGTGTGTGTGTGATCACTCTGATGAACATTGATGGCATAATGGACCTTTCTGTACACTGCAAATTTCTCTGATCTGGCCAAAATTTTAAAACTTACATCAGGTTATTCATCTTGTTTTTAGATTTATTATTGACTTACCAGTTCTGAGACGGCTTCATTCTAGTTTATTTAAAAAACATCAACACATTACTTCTGTTTTACTTCCCTTCACTGGCTGCCAGTGTGTTTTAGAATCGATTTTAAGATTTTACTGATCACTTTTAAAGCTCGTTTACATCTTGCGCCAAGTTACATTTCAGAACTTTAACCCAGTACGAGCCGAGCCCTTCTCCTGCGCCTTAGACCCTCAGTCAGGTCCCTGTGGCTGTGGATGATGGAGCCTTTTCAGTCCGGGCGCCTCGGCTTTGGAACGACCTGCCTGAGGAGATAAGAGTTGCACCATCACTATCATCTTTAAAATCACTTCTTGAGACTCTTTTGTATCTGTTGTCCGATCTGATGTCCAGTTTGGGGACTTTTCATTGACGTTTAGGCCCTCAAAATTGAGATTGTTTGCAAGGGAAAAAATAATAATTATAATAATAAAAAAACGACGAAGAACAATAGCCCTCGTAGTAGTAGTAGTTACTAGTAGTTACTAAGTAAGTAGTAATAGTAGTAATAGTAATAATAGTAGTAGTAGTAATAGTAGTAGTAGTAGTAATAATAATAGTAGTAGTAATAGTAGTAATGGTAGTAGTAATAGTAGTAATAGTAGTAGTAGTAGTATATATAGTAGTAATAATAATAATAATAGTAGTAGTAGTAATAATATAATAATATAGTAAGTAGTATAATAGTAGTAGTAGTATAGTAGTAGTAGTAGTAGTAATGGTAGTTAGTAGTAATATAATAGTAGTAAATAATAATAGTAATAATATAGTAGTAATAGTAGTAATATATAGTAGTATAGTAGTAGTAATAGTAGTAATAATATAGTAGTAATAATATAGTAGTAATAATAATAATAGTAGTAATAATAGTAGTATAGTAATAGTAGTAATAGTAGTAGTAATAATTATAGTAGTAATAATAATAGTAGTATTAGTAGTAGTAATAGTAGTAATAGTAGTAATAATAGTAGTATAATAATAGTAATAATAATAGTAGTAATAATAGTAGTAGTAATAATAATAGTAGTAATAATAATAATAATAATAATAGTAGTAGTAGTAGTAATAGTAGTAATGGTAGTAGTAGTAGTAGTAGTAATAATAGTAGTAATAATAATAATATAGTAGTAATAATAAGTAATAATAGTAGTAGTAGTAGTAGTAGTAGTAGTAGTAGTAATAATAATAATAATAGTAAGTAATAATAATAATAGTAGTAATAATAATAATAATAGTAGTAGTAATGATAGTAGTAGTAGTAGTAGTAGTAGTAGTATAGTAGTAGTAGTAGTAGTAGTAGTAATGGTAGTAGCAGTAATAATAAAAATAGTAGTAATAATCGTAGTAGTTGTAGTCGTAGTGTAGTCTTTGTCGTCGTTATCATTATATTATTATTGTAACCACAGTCTGCCCAAAAGAAAATGGATACCAAAGGATTTCTATATTTAGAACCATTTCCTGATATTTATTTGAATAAATTACATTGACTTATCACATTTGAATCTTTACATCAAGCATACAGTCTGATAAAACCAGTGCAAGAACTGAACAAAACTCAAACATAAACAGAACAACCCAAAGACGACCATGTGCAGCACAGAGACCCCTCCTTTCACATTGTATCTGGATAATACACTGTCTATATATACATCTAATATGTGAATACTCATATGTAACACTTACAAAAATAAGATACATTACGGTAGATGCGCGACTCTACACACAAGGTGAAAACAAAACCACAGAAAAGCTGTACAGTCCTCATTGAGGGCAAAGATACACAAAAAATGTTTAAAAAAATGAGAAAAAAAAAGGAAGGAATTGTACCGCTTCATAAAAAACATAACCTTTGACCTTACTGATATTATTATTACCTCTGCTTCGAGTTGTGCTTCCAGCGAAAACTATGCGTAATGGATGTCCTACCAGCCGTCGTTATTGTTGTTAGTAGTAGACTGAGCTTATTTCACCCCATTGTTAGAGGTTTTCTGCATATATACCGTAAGAAGTAACACTATGCAATCCCATACAAACAGCCAGACCCCAAAACACTCAACATTGTCACGTGACGCTGAAGCTTTAGACTTGCAATGTCATTTTTTAGCAGTAAATAATGCACAGAGATCAAACAGAGGCTGCCATTGCTGCCGTCATGCGGTCCTCGGAAAGCTGCGGAAAATGTGTAATGAGAAACAACGAAAACGGTCAACTCCTACCTCACTTTAATCTGCTATAATGTCATTTTAAAGCTGCACTGTGTAACTTTTTGGTTATAGGGGTCCGTCACCTGCTTGTTTTTATGGATATGTTTGTCACTGCACCACCTGAAATGTTCCATAGTGTGACATTAAACAGCTGTACTTTACATTTACTCAACTACAGGTGGTTTTATAGCTCAAAAATACCTAGAAAAACAAGCATTCTGGTTCAGAGCACAGATCTGACCTGTAACTTGGTCCGGTTTGGGTTTCATGAAGATAGAAAGGTTTAATACCATATTGTGAAACATTCCAGACAAAGCAATAACACTGGTCAGATTTTTTATACAGCGCTTTTCCACCTTCACGGTGCTTTACATCAAGGAACCACTCACCCAGTCACGCACCAGTGTACACACACTGCAAAAAAGCCTGGCCACAATTTAAGATATAAACACTTAAATCTATCAGAAAATGACTTAAAAGTAGTGAAATTATCTGTCAATGCAACAAGATAATTTTACTTGACAGGTTATCTTAAAATAAACTACCTCTAGACTAGAATTAGGCAGTCTCTAGTCTAGTAAGTAGATACCATATTTTTGGGACTATAAGTCACACTTTTTTCATGGTTTAGGTGGTCCTGTGACTTAAAATTTTAGACTCACAGCCACGAGAGGGCGCTCTAGCCTTGTGTATCAGTTTTCTGCATATGTCTCCTGCAGAAAAAGCCGCTGTCCTACTGCAATTAATGAAATATGCAGCAGAAAAAGGCAATCGAGCAGCAGAAAGAAAGTTTGGAGTGAGCGAGAAACTTGAGGAAACTTGAGAAACCATGCAACTTTCCTGGAAGTCACTGGATGGATCGAAAAGCCTGGACTTCAGTGACAACCAAAGTTGCGTGGTGTTGCTCAGAAGAATTGAATGGATTTTGTGATTTGGAGTGAGATGGAGAGTTTGGTAAACTTGTTCCGTTCTGTTGTTTATGTTATAGTTTATCTGAAGAACTGTTCATATGTGACATTAACAGTCTGTTGTTCTCTCTTCTATTGTTTTTACTATAACTTGCATTTTGAGATGAAATGTCGGTTCCTGGTCTCTGATTTTATTAAATAAATTTCCCCTTAAAAGTGCTACTTATAGACTGGTGAGACTAATATTTGTTTTTTGCTTCTTCATTACACATTTTTTTGGCTGGTGTGACTTATAGTCATAAAAATACGGTAATAAATTTGAAAAAAAATAATCTGATGTAAATTTTAAAATATTGGCCAGACCAGAGGAATTTACAGTGCAGACACTGGAGGCGGGGTTAAATGTTTTGCCCAAGAACACAACCACAGCATTGATCTGTGGGAGCTGGAATCGCACCAAGAACATGGAGAAAAGTCCCGCACACCGTCTTACTTGCAAATTGATTAAGAGTCTCTTAATCTCAGGGAATAAATCTAAACAATCTCACATTTTGCAAGTAAGACGGTGTGCAGGACTTTGGGCTACTCTGTCTCCTCCGTCGCACCCGTCTCTAGTAACTGATGTGCGAAGTTCTCATTCTTTTATATAGCTGGAATCGCACCGCCAACCTGTGGGCCAGTGGATCTGACCGCTCAACCAGCGATGTTTACGTCGAGAGCGGGACAACACCTCCATGGAGAAAAGCATTTCACGCACCTTCCACCAGAAAAGTTACACAATGCACCTTTAAATCATGAATGGTCAGCTATTTCATTTTGAAACATCTGCGTCTCAGGACCATATGGCCGCAGCAATGGCCCTCGATATATTATCCCACACGATACTTCTCACGAGTGCAGATTTCAACACGTAACAGGTGAACAGCAGCTTCTTACAAAAAATAAATAGTGTAAGATTAAATTGCATCGTTAATTTGTAAAACTTTTCCACTCTTGTTCCCGTCAGTTGCCATTTCAGGCTACATCTAAATTCTTAATAACAGCTAAGCTACAAAATGCTAACCAGGCTAAGGGGGGGATCGCGGCATTTAGCGCCAAAAATTCCTATTATTATCACAGACAGATACTTTTAAAATTGCTTAATCTTGCACCATTACTTAATAAAACTTTAAATTTGCTGCAAACCACTTCACGAATCACTGGCTCAGATATGTAATACAATATTTTTAGAGTACACCCCTGTCAATAGCTCGTAAGATTGCAGGTTTTTCGCTTGACATCGCGGATTTTTGCAAGTAACTTTGGTATTTACAAGTATATCTGTGGTGGAAATCAAAGGAGTGAAGTCTGCCATTAAGTGAAATTATGAAAACGAAATCTCATGCCGTTGGAAAAACACATGGACTGGCTTGTGCGAGCTAGTGAGAGAAGTTCGCTAAAAGGTTTTCCACAAAGTACAGTGCGTTTGATAAACTCATGTAACCCAGACAGAAGCGTATGGAGACTATAGAAGACCTGTAGATCATGGGGTTAAGCAACAACAACAAATTTTCATCGTCGAAAAAAGATTTACAGCTCAATTGCTTTTTGTTTTTAATTGTCTCTGTTTTCTCGTCTGACTTCGCTGCGGGCGGGGTTGAGCCTCCTTCTAAAGAGAGGAGTGACGGGAGTTTAAAAGGAATGTTACGTAAAGAAGGTGAGACAGGAGAGAGGAGATGCGCAGAGCGGCGATCTTTAGTTGGGAAGAGGAACCAGCACATCCACGTAGTTGTTGGGGAAGAAGCCGGAGTTGCCGTGCAGCATTCCTTCTAGCCAGTTTTCGTCGATCTTGTTGGTCAGCGTGATGATGTCGCCCTCTTTGAACCCTAGCTCCCCCTCGTTCTCCGGGTCGAAGTCGTACAGCGCGCGACAGCAAGGTTGGTCCATCGGGACTGCACAAAAAGTGATGATTTTTTTAAAAACATTTTGAACAAAGAAAAGCGGGGTGGTGCTATTGAAGTGAGCATGCAGAGTGAGATCACAGTTAAGAATCCGTGTATCATTCGTTCATTCGTTTTTCAATATAAAACCAAAAATAAGAAAACGAAAAAACAACCGTTTTCTTCGTTATTTGTCTCCAAAACCAAAATGAAAAACGAATAACGATTCGTTTTTTCAGTTTTCGATTTTGTGTTTAAATGAAGAATGGAAAAAACGGATAACGGCCGTTTCCCGTTTACGTGACTTCCGTGACTGCGATGCCGAACTTTTGCACCGCGTACGGACTGAATCAGGACGGATCCAGGTCCGAGACCAGACCGAGACCAGAGCGGGACTGAGACTGGGACCAGACCGGGACCAGAGCGGGACCAGGGCGGACTCCGAGCTTTGACTCCGAGCCTCCACAGGGTCCGAGCCTCAGCTTCGAGCTCCGGCCCTGCCGTGGGCTCTGAGCCTCCGGTCTGGTCCCGGTCTGGTCCTGGTCTTGTCTCGGTCTCGGTCTCAGGCCCGCTCTGGTCCCGGTCTGGTCCTAGTCTCAGTAGCGCTTTGGTCCCGGTCTGGTCCCGGACCTGGTCCATTTGAACCAAAAGCTCTTAGTTCGATTCATTTTCATTGGTGTGAAAGCGTCAGTCAGAGGCTTTGCACCACCTCGGAACCAGCCGCGGTTCTTGAGCGCGGAGGACCAGAGCAGCTCTGTCCCGGTCTCAGTCCCGCTCTGGTCTCGGTCTGGTCTCGGACCTGGATCAGTCCCGGTTCAGTCCGTACCCGGTGCAAAAGTCCGGCATCGCAGTCACGGAAGTCACATAAACGGGAAACGGCCGTTATCCGTTTTTTCCATTCGTCATTTAAACACAAAATCGAAAACTGAAAAAACGAATCGTTATCCGTTTTTTCATTTTGGTTTTGGAGACAAATAGCGAAGAAAACTGTTGTTTTTTCGTTTTCTTATTTTTGGTTTTATATTGAAAAACGAATGAACGAATGATACACGGATTGTTAAGCTTAGAGGAAGCTCACCTGGTGACCGCGCTACAAGGGAGGGGACGAGCGCAACAGGTACAAAAAGAGAGACAAAAAATATCATTGAGCAAAAGCAGGATTAAATAAACGGCGATACAAGACGGAAAAAAGGAAGACAAAACTGTTAGGTAGAAACGTTTCAACCCAGTCTCAAAAACTTTAGTAAAAATAAAGTCTGTATCTACAATAGTTATAGTACAATAGAGCTTTTTCACAATGGCCAAAAGTGTCACGATGTAGGGTAAATATCACTTATGTTAACAGTTTTCTATGGCAAAAAATCTGTGGAAATGTCCACCAGCTTCATAAATCTGCCCCATCACCAAATCTTCACCCAACAAGGTCAAAAAAGGAGGAACATGAAGAATTTATCCACAACTATCAAGGTAAGAAATACGAAAACGTAAAGACGAACAACGATGACACATTAGTGAACTACTCCATCCATCCATTTTCTTCCGCTTATCCGGGGTTCGGGTCACGGGGGCAGCAGTCTAAGCAGGGACTCCCAGACTTCCTTCACCCCAGACACGTCCTCCAGCTCCTCCGGGGGAACCCCGAGGCGTTCCCAGGCCAGCCGAGAGACATTGTCCCTCCAGCATGTCCTGGGTCTTCCAAGGCCTCCTTCAGGTGGGACATGCCCAGAACACCTCCTGAGGGAGACGCCCAGGAGGCATCCGGAACAGATGCCCGAGCCACCTCAGCTGGCTCCTCTCGACGTGGAGGAGCAGCGGCTCTACTCCAAGCTCCTCCTGTGTGACTGAGCTCCTCACCCTATCTCTAAGGGAGCGCCCAGCCACCCTGCGGAGGAAACTCATTTCAAGCGCTTGTATCCGTGATCTCGTCCTTTCGGTCACTACCCAGAGCTCATGACCATAGGTGAGAATAGGAACGAAGACTGACCGGTAAATCGAGAGCTTCGCCTTTCGGCTCAGCTCCCTCTTCACCACAACGGTCCGATACAGCGACCGCATCACTGCAGATGCTGCACCGATCCGCCTGTCAATCTCATGCTCCGTCCTCCCCTCATTCGTGAACAAGACCCCGAGATACTTGAACTCCTCCACTTGAGGCAAGCATCTCTGGACATGGAGACTAGTGAACTACTAGTCCTATTTAAAACTCAATTTCATGATGTAAATATTGGCATAGACAATGGGATTTGTGCCGTTTAAATGCTAGACATGTAATCTGTGACCATCTGTAGCATTAGAACTGCACAAATCTCTCTGTCTTTGCCAATATCTACATCATGAAATTGATTTTAATTGTAGAATTAGCCTGAATTAACAAGTTACTTAAGTTTTATTCATAATGTTAGTTTTGCTCAGGAGTAGTTCACTAATGTGTCATCGTTGTTCGCCTTTACTTTTTCATCTTTTTTACCTTGATAGTTGTGGATAAATTCTTCATGTTTATCCTTTGTCGACCTTTTAGGATGAAGATTTGGTGATGAAAAATAAGCAAGACATTTCCACAGATATTTTGCCATAGAAAAGCATCAACGTAAGTGACATTTACCCTGCATCGTGACACTTCTGGCCTTTGTGAAAAAGGTCTATATTCCTCTGGGTGAACTGGTGGTCTCTTGTATGGCAGGTAGGATTCACTTTAGTGCATCCTTACAAACTCCAATACAAACCAGTTCACTTGTCACCATAGACTGTATGATAGAAGTGGAGTGAGGGGGGGTGACGTCACCCACAGCGTTTGGTTGCAACTAAACGAAGCTCATCGAGGCTAGCAGATATAGTGGCCCAACCAGGGGCCATAGTTGGAAATCCAAGCATGAAACCAAAGAGCCAATCAGGCTGTTGAAGGTAACATCCCTTCCCTTATCTTAGAAAAAAAAGCTGTCAATCAACCTGTTGCCAAAGCTTGACCTTGAGGAAAGCAGGCACTGGATTTGTTGGTATTAATGTTCATATCTTAATTTTGAGAAAATAGCAGAATAAAAAGCCCAGGATCACGAGAGTGGGTTAAAACCAAGATTTTGACAAAGTCCAAATGACGATCTTGACAACAGGAGTTACAAAAAAAATGAACTGGAGCTGGAAATACTCCCATGCTCACTTCCCATTAGTCCATTTCTATATACAGTCTATGCCTCTCACTGATTTGGTGACACACAAAAGTCTGTCCTTGTGGAGTCTACCAAGCAGGTCAGAGAGGGTACAGGGCACAGAGGGCACAGTGTAATTACTGGGTTTCAGATGATGAGATTCGATTTGCCAATGATAATCAACACAGATGAGGGAGCAGCTAAAATGAATATAGTTAACTTGCAGATTTTTGTTGTTATATATGTTTTGCTCTTTAGTTGTTGTAACTAAAATAACTTAATTTATCTTTTATATATTTCATGGCAAAGGTAAATCTGGCTCTTGCCCCATTTGACAGTTCGACATCATCACAGTCTAGGACCCGAAAACCATCAATTGATACTTTGCGGTGATATCACACTGTGGGTGTTTTTCGTGTATGTCTATGGGGAAATGTTCAGCAATTGCCATGGAGACACGATGCAGACTTTAGCAGACACTGTCAAAAACGTTTTAAGATAAAAAAAAAAAAGCCAGCTTGTGTAATTTTATTTGCAAGGAACTTGTTTAACAGCCCAAATCAGCTCTACTCTTGTAGTTCCAAGGTCAGTGTACTATTCGTTCTTTTCAATTTCAAAAATTAAAAAAAAAAAAAAAAAAAAAAAAAATTATTATAATAAAAATAATTTAATATTAATTTAAAGTTTATTTTGACACCTGTGCCATCTTTTTGCTACGAGATGTGTGAAGAGTCAGTCGTCCAGGTAGAATCTAACAAGACACAGGTGTCAAAATAACACTTACCAATCTTATTTCTAAAATTTTCTCAAAATTAAACTCTGAGTCAAGTCATTTATATTTTATACCACATTTAAAGGGATGATTCAGAGTTATTTCATCTTAGGATCCTTTGCACTATGACCTCTACATTACATCTGTATTCAATTGCTGCTAGATAATTTTGGGTGTGATTACCAAATTGGGGAAAATCTGGGATATTTGGGATAAAATCTGACGCATATTGATGATAAAGGAAATGTGGGTCCTAATTTTGAAAAACAAAACTTAAAAATGAGGGAACACAGGGCAGTGGGAACATGGGCACGCTCCCGTTTTTAAAGTGCTCTAAAAATAAAGTTGAGTTGAGTCGAGTAAAACAAACATCAGATTGAAGTCTAACAACGCTTCAGACAGAGCAGAGCCTACAGTTAGCATGACACCCACAGGGAATATTGTTGACATCAGCCGCAAACTATCAACACTTCATAACAGTAACACACGGTGAGTATCCAATCCATTATTTTGTACTGCACTGTGATCTCAAAGACTGGGTTGAAAACACATCGCAAACAGAACTGCAAAGTCAGACACTTCCACCACAGTTTATTAAGAGAAGTAAAAAGAGTGATGGAGACGTGGTCCTGTGTCACTTTAGCTCACCTGGGGATCTTGCTGCAAAGGGGAGAGGAGAAACACACATTAGTCATTTGGGCACAGTCTCAGCACTTCTGTTAGGGGACTGATGGCAAACAAAACCACATCATGATGAACGGAAATAGGGTGAAAAATGAAATGAGGGTTCGGTGGAGAAAAGTCGATGTTAGACAAATAAGAATGCAGCAAAACAGAAACAGCAAATGCTTCTGCTGTCATCTGTGTGTCATCATTTCCTCCACAGACAGCGACTGCATTTTGCTTTTTCTGTTAGGGAGAAATGACCAGCCCAGACCAAAGACTGTGTAAATAAATGGACACACTAGTTCAACATGCCTCTATTTAGACGTGCTGGTTTTCCAACACTTTTTAGTATCTCTATTTCGTCAAGTCGTATGTGTGTTTTGAGCTGTGAAAGTGTCGTCTCATTGAGCTGGTGCGATGAACTTGGTTATTTATTATTTATTGGTTATTTATTTAAGCTATATTGCAGGGGTCCCCAACCCCCTGGCCGCAGACCGGTATTGGGCCGTGGGTCGTTTGGTACTGGGCCGCGAAAACACGAACCCCCTTTCCATACGCCGCATGGACAGAGTCTTCTCATGTACTCCACGTGGGCCGCGCCTCTGAACCACAACTAAAACCAGGACTAAACTAGGACTAAAATCAGGACTAAAACCAGGTCTAAACTAAGTCTAAACCAGGTCTAAAATCAGGACTAACCCAGGTCTAACACCAGGACTAAACCAAGACTAAACCAGGATTAAAACCAGGACTAAACCAGGTCTAAAACCAGGACAAAACCAAGACTAAATCAGGACTAAAATCAGGACTAAAACCAGGACTAAAACCAGGACTAAACCAGGACTAAACCAGGTCTAAAACCAGGACAAAACCAGGATTTAACCAGGACTAAACCATGTTGCGTGGACTGCGCCTCCTCCCATACACTGTGCACACCGTGAAAATATTGTCCTGAAAAGAGCCCCGAAAAAAGCAAGTGCCGAAGTCCTGTCCAAATGGCCTGCCTGTCAACTTGAGCTACCTAGCGCTACTGCGCATGACCTCCAAGCACTGTTTCAGCCGGCGATTTGAGCTACCCAAGGAAAAGGTTTTGTATGTAGTGAATACATTATTTGGGAGAAGATATAGGCCTGTCAAGATTTGTCACCTGTACCCACATTCATATGAGTAAATACTGGTAATTCAGTGGGAACATTATTTAATGGCTAAACTGTCCTGTCGATATGTGCTACCTTTAGTCAGAGCCCAATTTGATAGCATAATACAACTGTCCAAATGAACTACCAACGCAGATTCATATAAATGAGTTGAAATTTGACATAACTAAGGTGTAAAGTTTGATCACCGTGTGCAAGCAGCATCAAACTCGCGTCTCTAATCCAAAAAAATATGTTGTAAAACTGGGGAGGTTCGGCTTTATTAGATCTATATGACAGGGCAGCGTGAATCGACAGACATCACTGTTGATTTAGGCTGGTAGCTCATTTTGACAAAACACCGAACCCTCCAACAAAAAAGTTACACAAAGCCCCTTTTAAATGTAAACCCTACATGATCTTGGTGATTTTATTTCACAATTTTGTCCGTAAATAAAGCCCTAATATGGAACTTGGGTCCTTTGTGAGCTTCATTTGACTGAAATCAAACACAATGGTTGACGTCACACTCCCTTAGTCCATTTCTTTATACAGTCTATGGTCCAAACACATGAGATGCAGCGGGAAAATGGCGATGAAGAGAAGATTTGAAATGTTTCCGGATTCACTTAGCCTCACCTGGGGACCTTGCTGTAAAGACCAAAGAACATGGGGATGGGGGAGAGAGTAGGAGAGGTCAGTTAAAGTCATGAATGATTGATTATTCATGGAGCGAATGTTGAAATGGAGAAACAGGGACAGACGGACAAATATGACCCATCTCACCTGGAGACCGCGCACCTGCAAAACCAACAGGTAGAGGACAGGAGAGAGTGAAGAGGGACGCTTGTTAGTTTGGGCTTCCTGACATTGACATTAACATTCTTCATCAACAAAATAAATTCTCAAATTCTTAACAGGGACAACAGGGTAAGATTTTCATTTAAAATTTCATAAACATAACCCCAGATAAATCATGAATAAATCATGAATGGACCAAGTGCAACTATTTTCCTTAATTACACACTCATCACAATTTTATTACCAACAACCCCAAATCTGGTCACCCAATTTTAAATACAAGAACACTGGGAATGATGCCAGGTTATTTTGGTGTCTAAATGGAAAAGCAGAATGAGCCCCACATGAGTCTCTCATTTGGATTGCCTGTTTCAGTCCTAAAATCCAGTTGGTTTAAAACTAAAATGCCTCTTTCTGATCAGATTCCTCTTTACTCAAACACCAGCACATGCTCCAATCATGTATCAGTGGGAATTCTGGAGGTTCTGAGCTTTTTAGGAATGGGTATTATTTGAGAATTTACTTGCAAACAAATACAAAATACAAAAATAACAATTCCAAAGATTTTAGGAGAGTTTTTTTTTTTTAAAGAAAATGATCTCACCTGGAGAGCGAGCACCACCGATTCCTCCGTTGTGGTTCTCACTAATGACGAGGTCCAGAGAAGTGCGAGGTTTGGGGGTAAACTCTTTACGGGGTTTATTAGAAGTGTCTCTTATCCTGCAGAGACAGAGACAGACAAACACTGTAGGTCACGTGATCACGAGGGCATATGTGAATGTAAGTCTGTGAGTGTGTGTGTGTGTGAGGTTAGAAGAGGTTATTAAAGTTTACCGTTCATCCATCTTGCTCTGCAGCTGTTGGAGAATCTCAGCTGCACGACTGTGGTACTGCACCTGAGCGTGGACCAGAGCTGCCAGCTGACTCACCTGCTCTATCTGCACACAGAGCAAAAGGCTGTGGGTTCAACTCCCAGAGGGAACAACTACAATCTATTTGGCAAGACAAGGTAAGTTTAGCAACTGGTCTAGCACAACTTGTACACAAAGTAATTCAAAGTGCTTTACAGACTAATAAAGACATTAAAATCACAATACAGACAGATCAAAACATAAATAATCATCAGAATAATAATCTTTCAGTCATATGCAGCTAAACAGAACAGTTTTGAGTCTGGATTTAAACATAGTCAGAGCAGAGGCCCGTGTCACATGTTCATGGCTGTTCCAGGCATAGGCGGAGTTTGCGGAGGTCAGGGGGGGTTAGTGGTGCCCCCCCTAGTGGCTGAAAATTTATAGACAAAATATTTACATTTTTAAAATGTATTAATATTTTAAATATGTCAATAAAACTAAAAGATTGTATGAAATAAATATGAATCCTAGGCTGACAAGGATTGAACAAGGACTGAACCAGGACTGAACCAAGACTAAAACAGGACTGAACAAAGACTGAACCAGGACTAATCTTGGACTTGAGAGAGAGAGAGAGGGAGAATCCTGAGCCCGTGGAGCAGGGTGTCCACAAAGCATGATCGGGCGATGGCTGCTCTTAGCCCCATGGGGCGCGAAGCTCTGCGCCGGTCCTTTCTACCACAGTGCCCTTCCCGACACTCAGTCCTGGTTCAGTCCTGGTGCAGTCCTGGTGCAGTCCTGGTGCAGACCTGGTGCAGACCTGGTGCAGACCTGGTTCAGACCTGGTTCAGACCTGGTTCAGTTCTGACAGCGTACCTCTGCGTACCACCCCCTTACACCCCTGATCATGTGAATATGCTGTAGTTTGGTTTTATGTGAGGCTTATGAACAGTCCTGTTTTATGTGTAACAGCATTATACTGTAACTATTTTGTGTAATGTCACAGAATAGTTATAATGCACAGCGGTGTGGACAGTAAAGTGCACATGACAATACACACTTTAAATCTTGAATCTAGTGCGTATGTTAAAATGTTTGCACTTCTAGCGCAAAAGTCAAACTCCACCTATGGTTCCAGGTTTTAGCTGCATAAAACTGAAACGCTGATGCTCCATGTTCAGTCCTGACTCTGGGCACCAGCAGGAGGTCAGTCCCTGAGGTCCTCAGACTGCAGATGTTTCACATGGCACTAACGTGTCGCAGATAAAGGGGTAGAGTGTAGTCTGAACATAACTGACTGGTGTATATTTCTGTTTCAAATGTATTAGTAAGATGAAATGGATTAGAGCAGATTTTTTACAGTCTGCAGAGGTCCAAAGTTATTGCACACATTCCTAATGCATTTCCAGCATCCAAATTAAATTGTTCACAGCATAGTTTCTACAGTAAGAGTGCTCCCCAATATTGAAAGGATAGTCATGTTAACAAATTTTGAAGTGTGATATATTGCTGAAGTTTTGTTCTTTGTTAATATATTGGCAATGTGTGAGCTACTGAGTCCAGATCATTTCCCTTGTGGATCAATAAAGTTTTATTGGCTGCTCTACTTACATCACTCTCCAGGAGGTTGAACATGCTCTGCTCAGCGATCTCCTTGGAGTCGTCGAACTTCTCCAGAGCAGCTTTGATCTCGTCCTCCGTCACTTTACCCTGACGCTTCTTCTTATAATCGAAATCCAGGCGACGGCCCTCCATCTTCTTCAGGTGGTGCTATAAGAGGAGCGGAGATAATTATGTTCATGTGACATTTGCTTTGAAATGTCAGCTCGTATTAGGATCACATGACTGAGCGCTGCGGTAATCCGTACCTGGATTTCTTTGAGGTCCTTTTCGTGGAGGATCTGCATTGGGTCGATGAAGTTCTGCTTCACCTCCATGTCCAGGGCGTCCTTTACCTCGGCCAGCTCACGCATGGCCTCCCCGGCGTCGATCAGCGCCTGGCCTGGAACCAACAAGCACCCACAATGTTGTTAAAGTGGAACTAAACCAAACTATTAAACTGTGTATATGCATTTGAATAGCTTTGCCTACTGTTCCTAGTGCTTTTTGGTTTGCAATTTAGCACAAACTAGGTACATCTGCAGCTTTCTGGTATAAAACATAAAAATTAGTTTGTCCTGGCTCCAGTGGCTATTTTACTGCCTTAATGACGTCCAGATGTTGCAGAATACAAACATCTGGCTGCAGAGGCGTAGTTTGAAATATTACACCTCACTCTGACTGCACCTGCTCCAGCTGTGAATCCAGTGTAGGACTGATGTTGCGATGCGAGTGCCCAGTACCTGAACGACTTAGGCTATGTTCAGGAAGTGACCCAAATCTGATTTTTTCATCCCTATGTGACCTTTATCTGATCTTTTAATGAACGACACAGATCAAATTTTTTCACATGCGACCCAGGCCTCTTGGATATGTGCTCCTAAAACCGATAGATATCTGATCTTTTGACATGCGACTTCAGTCTGAACGGCCAGGTCGCATTCATCCCACCTACAGATCATCGACAAGCAACAATCCTCACTATTCTGCGCTGAAGTAGATGGAAACTGGAAGAAAGCCACAACAATGCAAGAGAATTTTCAGGCTCTGAAGGCTCGGAGTCTCATCAGTGAAGCGAAAGTGAGCTTAGCAAATTAATTAATATTTGGGGGATAGTTGTATTCAGGCCTCAAAACGCCATGGCCATAAACCTTGTCCTTCTCCTTCTCAATCTTCTCCTTAAAACAAATAATCTGTACATGTTCTGGCTTTGGTACGACAGCAACTTTAAAATCTCCAGGTGCTCATGTTTAGGCTATTTCTGTAAACACTGAGCGGGCGTTTTAAGTTCACATTGGAGATCACACACAAGTCGCATTTAACTGAAAATGCGAATGATCTTGCAAAAATTCGAACTGAGCATTAAACCCTGCAGTCTGAACTAGAGTCCTGCACTCCACCTGACGCAAAACAATGCAGCGCAAGATACATTTTGAAAGCTCATTGCGGGTGCGGGCGTGTGGAATGATAAATTGCAGTCCCGTAAACTAAATATGAGTGTAAATTAAAATATAATGATGGATGTATGCCTATCATACATCATTTGTGCTGGATATTTTATTTGGTGTTAATAAAAACACTTTAAACAACCTAAATTTGCGTATGTGGTCTAATCTCGCGCACATTTTAGACAGTTCCTTTCCGCTTCTCCGTGTTTGATAGAGCTTAAGTAAGTCAACGTCCCCACCTTGTGGGATTTGCGGGCAGGAGCAGAAATGAAAACTACGATTCTCTGCGGTGACCAGTCGGGACTGGGACTGAGAATTCTGTCCTGCGCTGACCTCTAGTCTGAACGTAGCCTTAGAGATTACACAGATATAACACCACATGGTAATATACAAAAAAGTACTATGATTTAATGTTAAAAATAAAAGTGTCTCTAAAGCAGGCATGTCCAAACTATGGCCCATGGGCCAAATTTGGCCCTCAGACAAATTTTTCTTGGCCCTAAGGCTTCCAGGAGAATTGGCCCAAATTACCTTGCATCAATGAAAAATTTACTTTGATAAAGCCAGTATTTAATATTTTGTGTGTGGTTTAAAGGATCTTAGCTTAAATAAAGACTGATGGCTCATTCTAAAGTGTTAAACCTGCACATATTTCAATTATTCACTGTATTAAGCACCAGTCTATGGCCCTTGATCGGCCCTCTGCTTCGTCTGTGTTTAGATATGTGGCCCTTGATGAAAAAAGTTTGGACACTCCTGCTCTAAAGAGTGTTTTCTGTTTTCACTGTGGTATCAGAATCAGTAGCATTGAGTGCACACAGTGAGTCTTTTCTTTAGTATTGAAATGTTAGTATTCTGACACTAATAGTAAATCATGCTGTATTAAAAATCTATTCAATCTTTATTGATGTTTTGTTCATAATTTGTTGTGTGGACGACTCACCGAAGCTGGACTCGTCTCCCAGCTCTCGTCCAAACTTCTGCATGGACTCTCCCAGGATGGCCTCTGTCTGCGTGTAGCCTGGGCCCTTCTCCTGACCGCGCATACGAGACATGGAGTTCATCATGCTCATCTTGGCTCTGGTGGCTGTCAGGGTCACAGGTCATTTCATTTAATATTAATATATCGTATGTGGCCTTTATTTGAAATCTTTAGAAAATGATTTATTTATCACATGGTATTGTTACCTGGATTGGGCTGCAGATACTCTGTAGTCTTAGTCATGATGTCCAACACTGCCCGAGATGTAACATCCACTCTCTGTTCAGGACAATGCAGAAAAACACAAAGGCTTTAGAAAAAAGAGAAGAAAGAAGGTGTAAAGGCACAGAATGTGGTAATAACTAAAGGACACAATTGCAGTCATTTCAGTTTTCTGAAGTCAGACTGGAACCACCTACTGCAGACTTGTTTTTTTTGTTTTTTTTTACCTCCGTCTACTTTTAAAAACTCAAACCAAACTCAGTATTTTACAGAATAAGTGCACATCCTTTTAACACTTTTATATCCTAAATCTGCAAATGTTTCACTGTGTATTTGTGCCGTTTTATGCTGCCTCTTGGACACGTCGTTACTGCAAATGAAAAGGTCTTCTCAATTGAGTTACCTCCAATCCAATCCAACTTTATTTGTGTAGCACGTTTTATAAACAAAACAGTTTCCAAAGTGCTTGTAAAAACAAAATGCAAAACATTTCACCTTAAAAAGTCACCAGAATTATGGTCCAAACAAAAAGAACTAGTAGAATCAATAGATAAAATAATAATAATAAAATCAGTAAATAAAGGCAGTACTAAAAATAAATAAACAAATAAATAAAACAATAAATAAAAATAAAAAAAACTATAAAAAAATTATTAGAAAAAATTATAATAAATAAAAAAATACATAAAATTATAATAACTGAATGAATAAATACATGAATAAATTAAATAAATTAAAAAAATAAAACTATAAAAAATAATTAGAAAAAATATAATAAATAAAAAATACATAAAAATTATAATAAATTAATAAATAAATGGATGAATAAATAAATAAATGACATAGAGGACCGGTATCATGTAGTATTAAAAGCCACAGAATAAAACTGGGTCTTAAGACGAGACTTAAAACACTCGTCAAAGCAGAGCGTTCCAGAGTTTGGGTTCGGCCTTAAAAACCTCCCTGGTCTTAGACCCCACGAGCTGGAGCTGGCCCTCAGACCTCAAAGCACATATGGGGGTGTAAATCTGGATGAGGTCAAAGCTTTAAAAACAAATCTTACAATACCTGGTAAAATACTGAATAAATGAATAAACTAAGAATAAAAGGAAGTGACAGAGTAAATGTTTGGACACACGTTTCATCATTTCTTATGTCCATGATTATTCACACTGTAGATTCTCACTGAAGCCATCAAAACTATCAATAGACACAGATGGAATGTAGCTCAAAATAACTCAAAATGTGTCTAGGATTTTTAAAAACAGAGACGCTTTTCTTTAATCCCTGGTTTGCACTTTTGTAATTCCCTAAACCTGACATGAAAACACAGCATTAACACTTTTTTTTTGCTCCATAATTCGATAAATCTTGCTTCATATTTGATGTATTCAAAATGTAGAATGTGGTAAACATAAATAAAAAAAACAAAACATTGAATGAGAAGGTGTGTCCAAACGTTTGACTGGTATATTTAGTGTATTTCTTGGTAATGTCCAGTGTGAAATGAGCTCAGATGTGTACCATAATAGTCCACGTGATAGAACCAGATAACACACACACATACACACATACACACCACAGCCTGACATGTGTTATTGCCCAGAGAGTGAAAGAGCACAGTATGTTGTTCTGAGCGGACGAAGCACGAGCCATGTGACCGGGTAAAATCAGCTATCAGAGGCGTCACGAATGTGTGAGAAGAAACATGCAATTTTATATTTTCCTGTGTTTTTCTTTCATTACCTTTGTCGATTTTACAGCGGTTCTCATCCTATTCTTGTCTCGAATCCTCCCTAAGATTTGTCTCACACAGCTACATGGACACTACGCAGTTTAATCACTACTGTAAGTATATTGTCAATTATACTATTACATTTTAACTAATATACAACATATTTAGATCATCATGTAAACTTTTATTGTACTGAAAACAACGTATTAACATGTTTTTGCTCTCCGTGCTAAATCACTCCCCCTCCAGAGAACTATGACAATATGGTCTGCATGCATTTCGCTAACGAAACTACTGCAGATCACATCAGGTTTGTGAAGTTTTTGTGTGAGGTATATATCATGCTTTTGTATTTATGGAGCAATATTTATTGTTGTTTAGAAGCACGGGTGACATAGAAGCCAAGGGCATAAGTTTGCATAGGGAGGGGACATTTCACAACAAATACTTGGCATAGATAAAATAGTCCCTACCAATATTTGCCATTTTATGATAATAAACAAAAATATAAAAACAAACTCAACAGTATTAATTTAACACGTTTTAGTACACATTTTGTTTTTCAGACGTTCTGAGATGTATTCAGTGATATGACGACAGGGTTACTCCTGCTGCTGTTTCTTTGGCTGTAACAGAGTGATGTCATTAGTGGAGCCAGGAGCCTAAACTGTGGAAGCGGCAGGACAGGGCCGCACCTGAAGATGGCGACTTGAGCAGGCGTGAGTGAAGACGTTGCACCAAACTTTGAAAAACTTTTCAAAAGGAACTTAATTGGCTTCATCTTCAATTAAACTTGTCTTATAATGAATCATCAAGAAAAAAGAGGTGGTAAGCTGATAATGTCACCACCAAGCTGAGACCAAACCTACGCCCTTGTGAAAAAGTTATATTCACTGAAAACAACGTATTAACATGTTTATGCTCTCCGTGCTAAATCACTCCCCCTCTAGGGAACTATGACAGTACAATCCTCATGCATTTCACTAATGAAACTACTGCACATCACATCAGGTTTGTCAACTTGTGTAGAGTTTTATATCATGCTTTTGTATATTTATGGAGCAATATTTATTGTCGTTGGGGAGCACGGGTGACATAGAAGCTTTGACCATGATCAGTTAAAATGGACAAATTGAACCTGGTTTTAACTTGTGTACACTACCGTACCAAAAGTTTTACAACACCCTAATTTTTCCAGTTATTTATTGCAATCAAGTCCCTGCAAGTTCAATGAAGAGCAGAGGTTAAAAAAAGATAAACGATAAACAAAACACAAGTCCAAGCTCTGCCAAACCTACCTCAGGAAAAAAGAACAAGATGGTAAAACTTGAAAACATGGAGTGTCCAGCACAGTGTCCAGACTTAAACCCCATCGAGCTGGTTTGGGATGAACTGGACAGAAGAGTGAAAGCCAAACAACCTACAAGTGCCACACATTTATGGAAACTTCTGCAACCGACTTGGGAAGAACTTTCTGAAGAATATTTGATTTCTATTGTAAAACGAACGAGCCACGAGTGTGTTCAGCTGTTACATCTACCAAAGGTGGACACTTTCATGAATCAAAAGTTTAGAATATGTTTTGGTCTATAAATTGATTCCATGATTTATTTTTCAACTCAGATTTCTTATTGCAATGACACAATAAACTGTAAAAAACTGGAAAAAGCGTGGTGTTCTAAAACTTTTGCATATAATAATAATAATGACTGAACATAAAAACACATTTATACATTATATCTTCATAGTATTTCTTACCTTTTCCATTTCAGTGAAGTCCACATCGAGTTTCGTTCCTTCAGCGCCACCCACTTTCTCACTCACTTTCTGCAAAGACAAACAGAAAAACAAGTATAAATGTATGCACTGTAATGCAAATCACAATGTTCCTGATAGAAACTGTATACAAGACCAGCGGCTCTTAAAGTTTCCACAGCACGATTTCACATGAGAAAACATTTTGCTCACTTTGTCAGCAGATTTAAACCTGCTCAAAACTGAACTACGCCAGGTTTATTACTGACATAACTAGTTTAAAATAAGCATCAAGGCTAAATAACAACATCTATGACATCTTTGTTCAAGAGCAATTTAAAGAAGACCTATTGTGTTTGTGTCTGCTGTATAGTTATAATCTACGACACCCCTGGATCATTATGTTTGCACATCCGCGAGAAGCAGATTTTAGTTTTTTCATTTGTACCAAAATGTCCTGCACATATCACTGATCAAGTAAATAAAACTGGAGAACAAAGTACAGAGCGTTGTGTACCGGAGAAAGTGAAAATAAGGACTGATCTGCAACGTGGAGTCTTGAAAATGAGCGATTAAAGATTGTTCAAACATGCACGAATCACGAATGCACAAATTATTGCCCAGTGTTTTCGGTTTCATTGTGTTCTGAGTAGTGGTGTTGTCAAGACCGCACTAATCGAGACCAAAACCAGTCCGAGACGACAGGGTCCTGAGACTGAGACAAGACCAAGACTTTTAAAGGCAGAGGCCGAGACAAGACCAAGACTTTTAAAGGCCAAGACTGAGAAAAGACCATGACCTTTAAAGCCCGAGACCGAGACAAGACCAAGACTTTTAAAGGCCGAAACCAAGACAAGACCAAGACTTTTAAAGGCCGAGGCCAAGACAAGACCAAGACTTTTAAAGCCCGAAACCGAGACAAGACCAAGACTTTTAAAGCCCGAAACCGAGACAAGACCAAGACTTTTAAAGCCCAAAACCGAGACAAGACCAAGACTTTTAAAGCCCAAGACCGAGACAAGACCAAGACTTTTAAAGGCTGAGACCGAGACAAGACCAAGACTTTTAATGGCTGAGACCAAAACAAGACCAAGACTTTTAAAGTCCGAGACTGAGACAAGACCTCTGAGAGTTGAGACCAAGACAAGACCAAGATTACGGCCCATCGAGACCAAATCGAGACTATATTTATATGTATTTTACAGTTATTTTGGCACACACATATCAATATTTTTATAAATCTATCTAATTTTTTTTGTGTGTGAAATGTTCGTTTAAGCCATCCACAGTTTGAGAACAACTTCTTTAAGAGAACTTCCACTGGCACTTTACAGAAAACTGAAGAAAGTGGGTTGAAATTTTGAACCTGTTTTTTTCAAGTTCCTAGCTCTGGGGTGGGCAAACCTTTTGACTCATGGGCCACAAAGGGTTTTAAATTTGACAAAAGGGCCAGACCAGGAGCAGATGGATGGAGTTTTTTGGTAATCCATCTCATAATTCTTTCAAGTCCCACGGTATTTACTGTTATTGAAATTACTTTTAAAGGGACAGTCCGGAATTTTGGACATAGGACCTCATTTCCTAGTGAAAATTCCAGGTTGTCCCTGTAAAACACTGAAAATTATTATTATCATTAAAGTTTGGCAGGCCGGATTAAAAAGATTTAAGGGCCGCATATGGCTCTCGGGCCGTAGTTTACCCACCCCTGTGCTAATAATGGAGTTAGACCTCGAGTCCGTGACAAGACCGAATCCAAGCGCCTTCAAGACCAAGACAAGGTCGGGTCCAAGCACCTTCAAGACCGAGACAAGACCGAGTCCAACCGCCTTCAAGGCCGAGACAAGACCGAGTCCAAGCACCTTCAAGACCGAGACAAGACCGAGTCCAACCGCCTTCAAGACCGAGACAAAGACCGAGTCCAACCGCCTTCAAGACCGAGACAAGACCGAGTCCAACCGCCTTCAAGACCGAGACAAGACCGAGTCCAAGCACCTTCAAGACCGAGACAAGACCGAGTCCAACTGCCTTCAAGACCGAGACAAGACCGAGTCCAAGCACCTTCAAGACCGAGTCCAACCGCCTTCAAGACCGAGTCCAACCGCCTTCAAGACCGAGACAAGACCGAGTCCAACTGCCTTCAAGACCGAGACAAGACCGAGTCCAAGCACCTTCAAGACCGAGTCCAACCGCCTTCAAGACCGAGTCCAACCGCCTTCAAGACCGAGACAAGACCTAGTCCAAGCACCTTCAAGACCGAAACAAGACCGAGTCTAAGCAACCTTCAAGACCGAGACAAGACCGAGTCCAAGCGCCTTCAAGACCGAGACAAGACAGAGTCCAAGCAACCTTCAAGACCGAGACAAGTCTGAATCCAAGCAACCTTCAAGACCGAGACAAGACCGAGTCCAAGCGCCTTCAAGACCAAGACAAGACCGAGTCCAAGCGCCTTCAAGACCGAGACAAGACCGAGTCCAACCGCCTTCAAGACCGAGACAAGACCGAGTCCAACTGCCTTCAAGACCGAGACAAGACCGAGTCCAAGCGCCTTCAAGACCGAGTCCAAGCAACCTTCAAGACCGAGACAAGACCTAGTCCAAGCATCTTCAAGACCGAAACAAGACCGAGTCTAAGCAACCTTCAAGACCGAGACAAGACAGAGTCCAAGCAACCTTCAAGACCGAGACAAGACCGAATCCAAGCAACCTTCAAGACCGAGACAAGACCGAGTCCAAGCGCCTTCAAGACCAAGACAAGACCGAGTCCAAGCGAATTCAAGACCAAGACAAGACTGAGTTCAAACGCGGTTGAGTCCAAGATCAGACCAAGACCGTAAAAAAACAGTCTCAAGACCCGTTTCGAGTACTACAAAACTAGTCCTGAATGTGGAGAGGTTTTTTTGTCTATTTTATAAGCTTTAAACCCACACATACAGTACGCCTCAGATGAAAGAAGCTACTTTCTAATGAATAAACCATGTGAACTAAATGCAAATATATGCGACGTATCGAGATAAATCCTCGGGCTCCCAGCAGAGGACAGATGTTATTACTGTCTGTATTGACTGGAGACGAACTTGCCCTGGTCACAGTCTCTCTCCCGCTCTCTCTGCCTGATTTACTGGACATGCTGCTTGGCTTTTTAATTATTCATACACACAGAGAGTGATTCAGGCTCCAGTGACATACAGAGCTCACGTATGGAAAGGTCAGACACACTTCAGCTTGTGCTCTGTCTTACTGTAACAAAACAACTGTTGTGAAACGCTCTTAAATCTTAATTCTTTCTATTCTGACTGTAATAATTCACACTCTTGTCAAGACATTTAAAAAGGAAAACATGGCATTTCTACAGCTCTTATATAAATACTCACATACCAAGACTATTTAAGTATAATTTAGTTTAAAAGTCTTCTAAATTATTTGGTACGGTTTTGGTTTAAAGACTTGAAATGAATTGAAGCACAAAGCAGATGACTTGGACTTGACTTGGACTTATTAGCCAGTGACTCGAGTGACTTGAGACTCGACTTGGACTTGCCTGTCTTTAAAAAAAAAAAATTGTATTAAGGATATAGAAGAATACAACATTTAACCAACGTTTAACAAAATACAATAATCAACATTTAACAAATTACAAAAATCAATATAAAACAACACAAAACACAAAAACATACAGCATCAAATACAAAACAACAAAAAAAGCCTGCCCCATTTCCCCCTGATCACACAAATTTAGTTAAATAAAACAAAAGTAATGTCGTAGTGCAACATAAACACAAAACACACTGCTAGGCCCCCTCCTTACATTGATATATTTTGGCCAATTTATAATTGAAATTCCTTTTCTCTCTCTTTCTTCCTTTTTTTTCCCCCTCTCCCATTTTTAAATAAACATTTTTTGTCCCTGTAGTTAAACTAATATTATTTTCTCATCATCTTTTACTATTTATTACAAATTCAAAGCTTAATTTTAAAGGTATTGCTCTCTTTTTTTTTTTTTTTTTTTGGACTTTCTTGTCTTTGACTTGGGACTCGACTCAGACTTGAGGTCAAAGATTTAAGACTTGAGATTTGCAAAACAACGACTTGGGAGAGTTTTAAGTCTCGTCTTAAAACCCACTTTTATTCTCTGGCTTTTAAGAGTTGTGTGGTCCTCTGAGTCTTTTATTTATTTTATTTTACTTATTTATTGCTATTTTATGATTGTTATGGTTTTTGCTTTTATTTAGATTTTACCGGTTTTATTGTTTTAGGACTGGCATGACCAAATACATTTTTTATTGTCTCCATTTTGGATTTGAACAAAAAAAAAAAATAAATAAATAAAATGAAAAAAAAAAAAAAACACTTGCAGAGATTAAAACTAAAGGTGCAACAAGACAATCTTCTATCAAAATAAGTGCAGTCAGAGCGATCAAAACACAGTTCTATTTCAATAAACTCTGCAGCCCTGATCTCTGCTCGGTCTTAATATAATACAGTATTTCTGACTCTACCCTGCAGTACCATGATGAGCCTGGAGGGGGCAGCGTTTTGACACAATAAGGTCAGACAGGAGCCCAAGGCAGAGGAGGAGGAGGGTGTTTTTTTAGGCAATGTCACAACGGTTTAAGAATTCTCCCGGGCTGCACGTCTCTGCGGGGTACTTCAGAAATATCACAGTACATGTAAGTGTGGAGTAAAGTACATGAGTGACAGGCAGAGGCAGAGTCAGACCCGTCTTAAGACAGTTTTGTGCAGCGTAAGAGGAGCTCAGGATTTCTTCCCCGTGAGTCATAAACCAGCCGAGTCGTTCCTGATCCCACTTCTAAAGATTCATATTCTGACAGCGACGCAAAGCACGGACAGTACAGTAGCAAGTAGCAGCCTAGTTGTAGTAGTGGTGGTCCTATAGAATAGTAGTACTTGTAGTAATTGTTCCTAGACTTTAATGGAGCTCAGATGAATGACAGGCCAGTGTGACCTTT